TGGTATCTTTTATTGGTGGGATCCAACATTCTCCTGTCGATGGTTTTTCAGCAATTTTGGAGTTCTTGCAGGAAAAGATGAGCACACACCCTTCTACTCCGCCATCTTGACAGATATGAATAGTTCAAATAGCCCAGGGCAATTATAATGGATATGAATGCTGTCATATAGGCTCACGATAGTCACCCACTAAAGAGATTTTTATTTCTAATACGCTTTCTCAGATGTTCTGATTCTAGTGGTCTAGTTTTATGGTCTGTCCGCCAGATAGGAGGAATTTAGATGAGGTGAAGCTGGTTCTGGAATATTAGGAAGGACTCCACCTAATCATTTTAGCTTTCCGCTCATGGCCGTAATTTCCTCTGTTTGAGGACACTGAAGGTGATAGTTTTCCTTAGTGATCTCCACTTCCTGTCCCAGTCTCATTGCCTGCAGTCGCCAGTAGGCGTTTCCAAAGTAACAGATTCTAATGGAACTGTGGTTCCTGTTCTACACTGGAGTCTCAGGGATAAGGTTAACCTGCTTTGCTTGACTTTGAAAGGCAGTGTGAAACTTATGTTAGGCTTGCAATAGATTGCCTTAACTGAGTCTCCAGAATCCCTCCAAACTGGAGTGGAGGAATCTCTGCCTTTTCAGGCAAACAGACTCTTTGCTCTTCATACACATTTCCTCACTGTTAAGGAGATATGCAACCATGCTTCAGGTTTTCCATTGTATTATTCTTATTGTAGCAACAAACTGATGAGCCATGGAAAATTTTAACCATGTCTGCCCAAATTCAAGGATGAACCACTGACTACTTGGTACACTAGAAAGATCTGGGAAGTCCATGTGCTAAGTGTACCTCTGCCGATAATTGGGGGCTGACTTTGGGCAAGGAATGTAAGCTCTTGGCTCCTCATTTTCCCTATCAGTAGAATAAAGAGGGACCACCCAGGCTCTGAAAGATGAAGCAATTAAGGAAAAAGTAGGAACAGGGCCAGCTGGCAAGTAAGAGGAGTACAGAATTAATGTAATTTTTATATTACAGCTGACTCAGCATATTTCAAAAATGTAGAATTGAGCCAAAGAACATACATTTGGTATTAACCAAACTGCCAAAGGAAGTTATGTAAAGCCTCTTTATTGAGCTTGAAAAAGGAGAGACATTCTTTTCTCTATCCTGATTTGGGTTGGGATGAAATCAATACTGAGTCTCTTTTGGTCTTTGGAATCTGTCCTCTAACAAGCAAAGCCCATTTCTTCACAAGTAGGTGGTTCTGAAATGTGTCTGCCTAGGCTGATGCATGATGGAACAGTAAGTAAAATGATAAAGTCTCCACTCATCTCTGGGTGAAAACAGAGGTCATCTCTGGGCATGGAGGATTTTGCAGTATAATATATATTTCCAAAGGGAAATGCTTGCAAAATGCAGATGCTGATCCCAATTCTGACTTCATGACTGGTGCCAGCCTTTGCCCTGGCACCTTTGTGGAGACAAAGGGGAGAGCCAAGAAATGAAATGATATTTTCCTTCCCTCATCATTACTCAGCATAGCCAGCTTGCTTAGTTATAAAAAATTCAAGTGTCAAGAGAAACTGCAGTGCAGTTTCTCATCCAAAAATGCATTCTCCCTCGTGGTCAAGAGATCCACTGTGTTCTAATATTGCTTCTGAGATGGATGGTCTTGTGGGTTAATTTTTTCCACTCTAACTCTCCTCTGTAACTTGTTTCACAATATTGTCTGAATTCTACGGGGACAATCGTTCTGAAACTGTAGTATGTAGAATCACTTGAGGAACTTACTAAAATGATAGGTCTCCTGACTTTAACCCCTAGTTCAGTGGGGTTGAGGAACCTGCATTTTTATTTTTATTTATTTTTTAACTTTTTATTTTATATTGGTAATAGCTGATCAACAATGTTATGGTTTCACGTGGACAGCAAAGGCACTCAGCCACACATATACATGTATACATTCTTCCCCAAAATCCCCTCCCATCCCAGCTGTCACAACATTGAGCAGAATTCCCTGTGCCTTACGGTAGGACCTTGTTGTCGTAGTCACTAAATATGTCTGACTCTTTTGAGACCCCAGGGACTGTAACCTTCCAGGCTCCTCTGTCCATGGGATTTCCCAGGCAAGAATACTGGAGTGGGTTGCCAATTCCTTCTCCAAGGGATCTTCCTAACTCAGGAATGGAACCCGAGTCTCCTGCATTGCAGGTGGATTCTTTACCACTGAGCCACCGGGAAGGCAGTACTTTATACGTTGTCCATTTTAAATATAGCAGTGTGTACATGTCCATCCAAAAGTATCCCTTTCCCCCATCCTTCCCTGCTGGGAATCATAAATTGGTTCTCTGAGAGTCATTTGTATCATTTCTTTTTAGATTCCACATGTAAGGGATACCATACATTATTTCTCTTTCTCTGTCTGACTTCTTTCACTTAATATGATAATCTCCAGGTCCATTCATGATGCTGCAAATGGCATTATTTCATTTTTTCTAGTGGCTGAGTAATATTCCATTGTATATGTGTACCACATCTTTATCCATTCATCTGTTGATTGACATGGGCTGTTTCCATGTCCCACCTATTGTAAATAGTGCAGCAGTGAACACTGGGGTGCATGTAGGAATCTACATTTTTAATACATGACACAGGGGGTTCTGTTAAAGGGGATCAGCAGCACTATCTTGAGGATCACCATCTGGGTACCATGCCTAGCTAGCAATATTATACTGCACACAGTGTATAAGCCTTTACAAGCCAAGTCCTAGTTGTGGTCTTGAAACAGCTCTTGAGCCCACCTAAATAAATTATTGCCCAATTTATAACAGTCATTGCTGGGCTTATAATAATTTCTGATTTAGACAAATGGCCCAGGAAGAACATGAGCTTGGGAGTCAGAAAGGCCTGGGTGTAGATCTTTGAGCCTCCACTTACTGTTCTTTGAGCAGGCTGCTCAGCTTCTCTGAGGCTTGGTTTCCTCATCTGTCAAATGGGAACAGTATTACCCACCTTACTGAGAGAGGGGTGGTGAGGATGGAATAAAATGACTTATGTGTAAATGCCACACAGGGGAGCCTAATACTTAGAGACAAATGCTAAATAAATATTATTTTCCTCCATTTGTACTGGAAGCAAGAATTTGAAACAAACACATGAAAAACCTTGCAGAAAGCAGACAGTGTTATGGGAAACTGTTTTTTAATGCCCAGGTTAATCGATTTTTGGCCGTATTGCACATCACTTTAGTGGTTTGTTTAGAGATCTTGGAAGCATGTCCCTTCTTAATTCCTTCAGGCAGTACTGACTTCTGTTGTGAATATAGGTTTCCAAGAGAGATCCCAGCAGGCTGATAGGGAAATGCAGGGGTATCATGATGTTGGCACCTTTGCCAAACACTTCAGGGTCCAGTGCAGAAAATTCAGATCAGGTGTTGAACCCGAAACTACACCTGCTGCTAGTCTCAGGCTCACAAGAAGAACCTTGTTCCTGAGAATCTAGCTAGTAATGGACTATTTGGACTGTCTTGTTCAAGCTCTTTCCAGGCGGAATGTGAACGTTATATGGTCCAAGAGAAACAATGCACTATTATACTTGGCGTGTACAGAGAGCTCCTTGCTAGGAGGTGATTTCGAAGTTCAATTTCAGCAATACCTGCCCACACCCCCCTTTCTCACCACGTCCAACAGGGTTTTACTGTTTGAAAAAAAAATGACCTTTGTTCTTTGTGTTGGTTGATTAATTTAAGGCTCACTGTTCTTATCCCCTATCATGCTCATGTTGGTACTTATGCAATACGTTTTTATATATCGCATGATACCTCCTTCTGAGGACCCAAATCAGAAAAGGAATTTAATAGCTAAAAATGCCTCTCTGCATTTTCTGGCTGAACAAACTGCAAGTTCAATGAAGACCCTTGGGTAGCATCAAGTCACAGGCGTCCTCTTGCTGTCTTCTCTCTTGGTCTTTTGTCAGGGGAGCCTGTAATCCTATCCTGGGGCAGGGCGGTCACAATAACTTCCATTCTCTGAAGGCTACACTCTGGAAGCTGAAAGAATAATCCCTGTAAACCCCATCATATGATTTTAGAGCCTGGAACGAGCCTCAGATCCAATCCCCCTTATTTTACAGGAGAGGAGTCTGAGGTTCAGAGGCGTCCACATAGTTTAAAATTGATTTTTTCTTTAATGACTACCTGCAGTGTGTGTACCAGAAACCGTGCACACAATGCGTACTAAGTCACTTTAGTCATGTTCAACTCTTTGTGACCCCATGGACTTTAGTTCACCAGCCTCCTCCTCTGTCCATGAGATTTTTCAGACAAGAATACTGGAGTGGGTTGCCATTTCCTTCTCCAGTGCACACAGTGGGAGGCTCATAATAGACCTCCAACAGGTTCAATGAGTTGCCAAATGAAGATGAGGAATGACTGTCTGGTAGACAAGGAACTAGCCAGCACCTGCTAAGAAGGAAATAAATGTTGACTAAGCCACTTTGGTTCACAAGTGCTCTGCTATGTTCTGAGGAGCTGGGGGAAGGCAAGAGGAGTCCCAGTGGGGAGAAACAATATGTGAACTTTATTAATAACCAGTCCTCATCTTCAGGGGACTTACAGTCTGCAGTGAACTCCTGGCTGAAAGGCATTTTCTAAATCAAGATAGGCACATATCACACCATATTGAACCAAGCAAGATTATGTACTTAATGACTCAATAATTTAATACATAGTCGTCGAGATGTTTGGGAAGAAGAGCGAAGAGTGCTGGCTCCCAGATAAACAAGCACAGTATTTTCCCCAACAGTGGACTGTTACAGCCACAACTCTCTTTTTGCTTCGTGTATCCCCATGATTATGACATGGCGGCAGGGGCTCCACTGGTGCTGATTGAATCAATATGTGGCCCATTTGATACTAAAATTATGGGCATATTTATGTCCACCCACAATGACTCCTTTTGTAGCAATGCTTTCTACTCACATGGATCTTTTGTTGTTTTTCTTTCAGTGGCCCATCCTCAGGACCCTCACCACCCATCAGAGAAGCCTGTCATTCACTGCCATAAATGTGGAGAGCCGTGCAAAGGGGAAGTGCTTCGGGTCCAGACCAAGCATTTCCATATCAAATGTTTCACCTGCAAAGGTAAGGCACCTCTGGCTTCCTGGCAATGTGGCCTATCACAGTCAGTGCTTGTCTTGGAGGCAGCCCCATCTCCTTAACTCCCTATCAGGTCACCAGTTGATAATTGAATGTGCTCACAAGTCCTGAAGTTGTTCGCCTTCTCTAATTCAGGAATAGATTGAAGTTAAGGGGAATACTGAGCTTGCCCCAGCTCCAAGACCAGGGGTACACAGGCCTTTGGGTGTTCACTGAGGTTTGTGAAACAAACAAGACCAGGTGGGAAAGGGTTGCAGTGGAGGAATTAGAGTTCACAGCACAAACTTAAACCAATAAACTGTCCAGGACTTCATAGGTTTAGCTGTAGCAAGATCAGAATTGGTGAGCAGGAGTTTTGTTGGTGAACCTCTGTTACTTCCTAAGATGTCTGGCATCTTGGAATCTAATGGTCCAAGAGTTATATATCCAATTTGTAAATGTTAACGGAATACATACTCCATATGTCAAGGAACTCGTCGGGTATTTGAAGAGATACATACTGGCTCAGACAGTAAAGAATCTGCCTGCAGTGCAGGAGACCTGGGTTCAGTCCCTGGGTCAGGAAGATCCTCTGGAGTAGGAAATGGCAACCCACTCAGGTATTCTTGCCTGGAAAATTCCGGGGACAGAGGAGCCTGGTGGGTTACAGTCCATGGGGTCGCAAAGAGTCAGACACGACTGAGCGACTGAGCGCATGCACACAGGATACTGAATAATAAATGCTGTGATGGAGAGAAATACAGGATGTAGACTGGAGGCAGGCAGATAGATCCAGAAAGGAGGTGGATATAATGGTGGTCCAGGTGGAAATAATGTAAGGAACATAGAACCAAGTGTGGTAGGGACTCGGGGACAGATTTAAGAGACGTTTAACCAGCTTAACCTTAACCTTACCTTTACCTAAGACATTTAACCTTAACCCAGTTAAGATTGCTAGGATTTTATGACTGGTTGGATGTGAAGAATGAAGAAAGATCCAAAGTTCCAGTTGGACTGCCTAGGTGAACATAAGGTTGCCACCAAATAAGAAAATATAGCACTAGATAGGCTATTATGGGGGAGAGAGTTCAGTTTAGATAATACATTGAGGCTGAGCATACGTGATCTATACAACGTCTCGTAGGCTTAGCACTCAAGAGATACTGGTCTGTGTTGGGAAGAAGGATTGAAAGTGCTCGGCATCCAGATAATGGCTAAAGCTATACGATTGTGTGTGGAATTCCCCTGGGAAAGGACAGGAACTGAGTAATAACAAAGCCAGCATCTCAAGGAAGTAGAACCTGATTTCCATTTGTAACCTTGGAAAATGTACCCATCTGGTAATGAGATGAGAAAAGTGGTTTAATTACTGGGTGGATTCTATAATTAAAAGAAAAGGAGATCCCCAAAGCTTCTGCTATTTAAAGAATTTATAATAACTCAGTGGGGATAAAATATGGCTGCCGGCTTCCGATGGAGCTGCTCTTTTATCTCCAGGGCTCAGCAGCTTTGTTTTTCACTCTTGCCTATTAGCAGCAGCCATTCCACTAACTTAAAGAAGGTTTTTGTTTTTTTACTGCTATATGTTCATTCAGATTTTGTTTCAATGATATGACCATTTTTTTAATCTATCACCTTGTCTATATCATGATTGTAATACATGCTCTATGAGAGAATAAGAAACTTATTTTAGTAGGAATTTAATGTTAATAATTATATATTTAATATTTAGTAGTTGATATATTTAAGTTAATTATAATTATATAGCTTATCATATCGATACATTATGTTCATTATAATTATTGTTTTCTATCTTGAGCATTTTTTTCAGGATAATGCCTTAGATCCATTTTTCTGTCAGAATGTTCTAGAACATTTAGAAAAGACCAGGGACCAGAGGCTTGAGAAGGGCTGTCTAGCCAAATATCCTGTTTTCATTAAGCCTTTCCTGGACTATCCTGTATAAGATGTCAGCTTCTCCAGATATCACATCTCTTTCCACTGTACTTTTTTCCTTAACATATATCATTATTTAGCATATTTTATTCATGAGTAAGCTCCCCTTGAGGGCAGGGATTTTTGTCTGTCTTGTTTATCACTCTGTACCTGGTACCTAAAACAATGCCTGATGCATTAGGTGCCCAATAAGGTGAAAGATGACCGAACAAGTGAATCAACAGTAGCCATGTATTTCTTTGGAACTTGAATATTTGTAAGTGCTTCTAATGGCATAGCTAGCCAACAAGATTTGTCAAGTGCTTACTATGATATATACCCTCACATGCTTACTAGACAGCAACATTATCTGCTGAAAAGAGTGTAAGTAAAGCTATCTGTCATTGATTACAGAGCAAGGTGTCTCTGTCTGGCAGATGGAACAGATCAGAGAACCTGTGCTAACGGCTGCTGTCAGGCAGCACTTGGGTGAGATGTCGCTGCTTTCACTTAACCCACTGGATACAACCCACTGCATGTGGGTTATTTGGGGTTCAGGTGGATATTGATAAAGCTCTAATAAAATGGAGACAGTTTCTTATATTCCCTAAGTGCGGAGCTCTGACTTTTAATATCTATTTAGAGAATCTGACTCATTTGGAAATTGAGTAGAAGGCAGAATAAACAGGATGCAAGAAAATGAGTCTGATACAAATGTACTCCCTTCTCACAGCAAATGAGAAACCACTTTGATGCCATCTTATGCTGATAAAAGGATAATCCTGTATAGATTATCTTTTGAATTTTGTGCCACGTTAAAGTGTTACCTAGTTAAATAAATATAATTTATATTTTAAAAAAATATTTAAGATTTTGAATTCCAAAGTGAAATAGGATAAGGACTCAGAAATTCTTCAAAATATGCTGCTTCACAACTTTGACTTTTGTTGGGAGGTGATTATCCATGGGTCTCATTAGTGTGGGCACTTTTTGTTCTGCATTATCTTTCAAGGATGTTTATGTAGTGAATATTCTCAGAAGACAGAGACAGCATTTCCCTCTGGACTAGAGGATGGATTTGTTTGCTGTCTAGTGTAATAAAGATAATATCTGCCTCTGGAACAAAGGTTGGATTGATTTGCTTACAGCTCATTATAAAAGACAGGGATTTTCTAAACTTTAGGTTCCTTTTGTTGTTGTTTAGTTGCTCAGTCGTGTCCGATTCATTGCGACGCCATGGACTGCAGCACACCAGACTTCCCTGTCCTTCCCTATCTCCCGGAGTTTGCTTAAGCTTATATCCATTGAGTCAGTGATGTCATCCAACCATCTTACCCTCTGTCGCCCTCTTTTCCTCATGCCCTCAATCTTTCCTATCATCAGGATCATTTCCAATGAGTCATCTCTTCGAATCAAGTGGCCAAGTATTGGAGCTTCAGCATCAGTCCTCCCAATAAATATTCAGGACTGATTTCCTTTAGGATGGACTGGTTGGATCTCCTTGAAGTCCAAGGGACTCTTCAAGAATCTTCTCCAGCACCACCGTTCAAAAGCATCAATTCTTCAGCATTCAGCCTTCTTTATTTTCCAACTCTCATATTCAGACATGACTATTAGAAAAAACCATAGCTTTGACTAGACGGACCTTTGTCAGCAAAGTGATGTCTCTACTTTTTAATATGCTGCCTAGGTGTGTCCTAGCTTTTCTTCCAAGGTGCAAGTGTCTTTTAATTTCATGGCTGCAGTCACCATCCACAATAATTTTGGAGCCCAATAAAATAAAGTCTGTCACTGTTTCCATTGTCTTCCCATCTGTTTGCCATGAAGTGATAGGACCGGATGCCATGATCTTAGTTTTCTGAATGTTGAGTTTTAAGCCAACTTTTTCACTCTCCTCTTTCACTTTCATGAAGAGGCTCTTTAGTTCCTCTTCCCTTTCTGTCCCTCTCACCACCATAAGAGAGGTGTCATCTGCATATCTGAGGTTGTTGATATTTCTCCCAGCAATCTTGATTCCAGCTTGTGCTTCATGCAGCCCAGTATTTCTCGTGATGTACCCTGCATATAAGTTAAATAAGCAGGGTGACAATATAGAGCCTTGACATATATTCCCAATTTGGAACCAGTTTGTTGTTTCATGTCCAGTTCTAACTGTTGCTTCTTGACCTGCATACCGGTTTCTCAGGAGGCAGATAAGGTGGTCTGGTATTCCCATCTCTTTAAGAATTTTCCACAGTTTGTTGTGATCCACACAGTGAAAGCCTTTAGCATAGTCAGGTTCCTTGGTGGGACACAAACCCACTGCACGTAGAGCATCCTGGTGACCTGCTTCTCTTGCCTCTGAGTGATGTGGCATGGTCATAAGGAATGCATAACACGTATGCAGCTCATGTTACCTGCCCTGAGTCAAAAAGTCTTTTGCTCTGACCTAGGAGTTTCATGTCTTCTGCCAGCATCCATGAAACCAGGGCAGACTAACTTTCCAGCTTGCAGGTAAAATCTCAAATTCTCTATTGTTCTTGAGAATTCTGTTTCATGTCCGTGCAAGCTTTTTTAAAAATATATTTTAAAAAAATTTATTTTTGGCTTCCCTAGGTCTTTGTCGCTGGGTGTGTGCTCTTTCTCTAGTTGGGACTAGTGGGAGCTTCTCTCTAGTTGTGGTGCTAGGGCTTCTCATTGAAGTGGCTTCTCTTTTTGTGGCTTGAGAGCTCTAGAGCTTGGACTCAGTAGCTGTGGCACATGGGCTTAGTTGCCCCATGGCATGTAGGATCCTTTTGGACCAGGGATTGAACCTGTGCCCTCTGCTTGATGGGCAGATTCTCAACCACTGGACCACCAGGGAAGTCCAATGATAGCTTATAGTTTGAGAAAGGGAAAGCTGAATTTCACCTAGCTTAATCAAGGAAGAGCACATCTTCTAAGAAAAATGATTTGTATAGCAACGTTTATGGGAATGTTTATATCAAAGAGCAGGGGAGAAAACTGAAATGTTCCTCAAACATTTTTAACACAAGCATTGAACCCATCCTATTGCTGGTTCTTTTCACATCCTGACCCTGAAACCTTGGGGT